GGAGGTCGCGAGCGGGGTCTCGAACCCGCAGAGCCTGGGGCCCTCTGGGCTGCGGACCGGGAGACTGTGTGGGTGGGGTGCGGGGGCCACTCCGAAGTCAGCCCCTGTGCGGGCTGTTACATGGGGGGGGGCGGGAGGAGAGTTTTCATCTCTTTCCGTGCCCGTGAGACGACCCCCCCCCCACCTTGCCAGCGCCGCGTGGTTGGTTTTCTCCAGCTCCCTGCTTCGCCTGTGATGTGGGCTAATTAAATATTTTATTGTTCTTTAGGCACCGCATCAGCCTGCTCAACCCTTTAAATTTACAATTTCCGAGTCCTGTGATCGGATTAAGGAAGAGTTTCAGTTTTTACAGGCTCAATACCACAGGTAATGATATTGACTTTAGCTGATCCTTCTGTTTGCTTAGCTCTTGTCTCCTCCACCCCCGAAACACACAAACACCCCCCCCCCCTTATTTTTGTCCACCTCAAAGGCATTATTAACAATTTTTTGCTTGTGGGCAGAAAGGGCAAGTAAAGGCCTCTTCTTTGAAGCAGGTGTAAAGAAATTAAAAATTTCTTCGGTAAATTAAAAACAAATTAAATAAAAAGACGAGGCAGAACAATCGAAAATGGGGAGCCTTGGAAAACGCTGAGACCAAACTTTCGATATTGATTTATTGGGGCCAGGAGAATAGAAGGTTGGGAAGCTTCCCGGGGCCCTTTAACTTCCTTGGTTCTTTATTGCCAGGAGCTTGCTTCCTGCTGACTTCTCGCTGCTATTTCGCTGGAATACCCTTAACCTGGAGCCTGGAAGAGTAGTGAGCAAGCGATGTCATTACTTTGATGCTGAAAAACTGTTCCGTATTAAAGGCGCTCACTAGCGTGGTTTTAAAATATTTTTGATTTTTTAACATTTTAATGATGTCTAATTCATATTTCATAAATAGACAAATCGAAAAAAAAACCCTAAAAATCCTCTGAACCCGGTCAGACATTTTGCCCCTGGGTGGTGGTATTCAACTAGTCTGTTTTGGAGGGAAGAAATAAGACATCATTCATAAGACATGTTTGATTCATATTTTCATTACTCTCTCTGTTCATGGAACATTAAAGAAATTCTCTTGTGACATTGGGTTGGTGGGGGAGACTTATTTGTGCTTGGCTGTGTAGAGATTAATATTTATTTTCCTCCTTTTTTTTTTTCATTAACTGACAGCATGTTTTTGGATGAGGCTCCATAATAAAATTTCCTTAAGAGTTCCCTCCCCCCCTCTTAAAACTTAAAAAAACAACCCAAACACATTTGATCCTGATTAAAAGGGCAAGTCTGGGCTGGTTCTAATCACCTGTTTCTCTTCCCTCCTTCAGTAATGAGAGCAGTATTTAAGATTGTTGGTTTGGTGTTTGTAGGTGATGATTTGGAAGGAGGGATTGTATATTTAGATCGGAAGGATGCAAGTCAAGTTCTGTATTAGACTGAGATTTCATTTTGTCTCCAACAAACAGCCTGAAGCTGGAATGTGAGAAACTGGCCAGTGAGAAGACAGAGATGCAGCGGCATTATGTCATGGTAAGAAAACTGTGTCACAGAGTCATAGTACCTATTAGTTTGAGATACCAAAAGCAAGAATACGTTCAAATTGCTGGAGGCTGTACGATAGATCATAGATGTTGTGCCAGTGTAGTTGAGGTTGTGGGAATGTGTCCATTAGCACCCTGTAATTCTAGGATGTTATAACTTGCCTCTGACAACCAGCTTTGATTTGAATTCTCAAAAAGTTCAGCTTCATGAGGTATAATTTTCTGTGCTTTGTTTTTGTAGATAGAAAACGCTGGCACACACATGCACACACATACAACCTCATTTATGTTTTGTTTAGAGTCCCAAGCAAAATGTTTTTGTGTTGGTGGTTTTCTTTGTTGTTTTGTTGCTTTTAACTCCAAACAGTTTTAGCTAGACAATTTTTCTGTCTACTGTTAAGGTTTTTAATCTGCTTTAGCTGGTCCAAAAGAATGACGGATGAGAAAAGACGTCCGATCCCATTTCAAAAATTTACTTTTCTGTGTGCATTTTCATTTTTTATACGGTTGATATGAGGAGTCTTGTGCCCCCCCCAGAATAATTGATTAGTTTTACCAGAATTTCTATGACATGTTAAAATTTTAAAAATCTTGTCTGTTTTTCTTACCTCCAGATTGTACCAAGGATATTGGAATGATTGGTCATAAAGGCTCCCAAGTAGCTCAGTCTTTCTTTATCAAGCCCTTTTTCTTTGAATGTGCTAATGGGAGCAGCGCACAAACAGTAGTAAAAACCCAAACAAACCGGAGCTCTGAAGTAGCACCACTCTCTTGAAATGTTTGTTCCAAACATCACCATCTGTACCAGTTTTTGCCATTAACTTGTCCACTGTGCCTAGGAATCAGTCCATATGGTACTGAATTTTCATCAGGCTTTCTTACTCATCTTGTGATGTAAAATGGGAAATGGAGATGTTAAGAATGCTGTGTTTGAACTTAGTTTTCTGAGTTAGCAGTCTGTCTTAAGGTGCCTTCCAGTGTACTTGGCTAAAGGTAGTTGTGGGTGCTTCTTGATCTCCAGACAGAGGTATCGTGGATATTTTGGCTTAGGTGAGGTGCTTATTTTGGGACATTTTTAACAAATTTAAGATTGCTAGATGAAAGGTACTAATTTAATTGCTTTTCCTTCTTTGACAGTATTATGAAATGTCTTATGGGTTGAATATAGAAATGCATAAGCAGGTAAGTTACTTGTTTATGACTATTTTAGTCGGTAATACTGCACATTTGCAAAGGGAATTGCTTTGTAATTTTGCATGTTTTTGTGACTGTATTTTGAAAGACTAGAATAGAAGGTGGTTTTTCATGTGTGTCTCCCCATTTTTGCTTATTACATAATTTCAATGATTTAAAAATGTAATGAGAAAAGTACGAGTTGCGTTAAAAGCTTTACACACTTTACAAACCCCAGAGTTCTACATTTGAAAATATGGTGTTTCGATTTTGAAAGACTGACTTTATAGGTTCTGGGATATGCAAATGTGACTTTCTAAAGGAGTCTTTATTGGAAAATATTAAAAAGTAAAGCTAAATTGTGTGGAGCTGTAGTTGGCCTGGTTGATAGAATGAATACGAGGGGAAGTTGGGAAGGATCCCAATGAATCTGTGGGGCTACAACAGAAATTGATGTAAAATCCTTGTACCAGTCCCTCGAGGCTACTTAGTGGGGTCCTACCCGTAACTGGAACCGTTACTTCCCAAAATATGTGCAGAGTCAATGAGCCTGTTAGAAGGATGTGATGAGGTTCAAACAAAGGTCTTAAAATCCAGCAATTAGTTCAGCCAAAAGCAAAGAAGAGGTAATTGTAATTATTATTCAGAAAGTGGAGAGGAATGATTTTTTTTCCCCTGTAGGTGACTGAATAGCTCGACTTAAATTTCCTAAACTGGAAAAAAACCAAAAACAACTGTATGCATATATACGTATACACAGGAGGTTTCAAACGTTAGGAAAATTGCATTATCTTTTAATTCCATGAACTTTTGAAGCCCTTTTGTATGTATGTACATAATATTATATACTACCACATGTATAGATTTGAATATATTGGTAATATTTCCTCATGGAGGCATTTCTCTTTCGTGATCTTGTGAAAAATTCTCCATTTCAGAATAGGTGTGTGTATATATGTTTGCCTGCTGAGACTAGATGTGAGATGCTTCATGCTTTTCATTTCTTATTTATGGTTAAGGTGGATATCATTAGTAAGTATGAAATGACCGCCTGTTGTTGAACCTTTACTGTTTATGGATTCCTTGGATAAGGGTATCTACCACACACTCTGAAAGCATTCAGATAGTAGGTTTTTGAGTGACTGCTGGCCAATAAAACCAATCAGATGGATAGCATGTGAAAACAAAGTTGGGAGAACATGAGTTGTTAACTCATACTAAGCCCTTTGATAGACTTGTTTTACTTTGTATGCTTCTTGGTTAGTATTGTTAGTTGTAGTATTAGTACTGTTGTAGAGTTTGAATGCTGTGTGTGCAAATTAAATTCTTATTTTGATATCTTTCCATTTCTGTTTAGTAATGTAAATTCCTCCTACTTAAAATCTATTAATCTTGGGGGGCGGGGGACACCTCACTTAGCTGTACCTTACGGGAATAAATTACACGAGAGAGATTTTAAATTCTCATTACATTTCATTTTAGGTCTGGATCTTGTACATGTCTTCTTTTGTCCCCAACTTCCCCCTGATTAATTAGCATCTCTTCCAAGATTAGACTAGATGATTAGTGCCCACTTATTTCTCCTTTTTCTCCATCCTGTTTACCTTAACCACTTATTCCAGATTTCTTAATTCATTCTGCATTTCTGAGAGGCTTGGATTTGGGCGGAATGCTTTTTTTTTTTTTTTGCTATGTGAGATCCCTTAATTTTACACATTTTATACCTCTGTAATTCTGTCATCTTCTTGTCCAGTTGTCCTCAAACACCGGCCATTTAAAATTGAGAATGGAGTACACTCCCCCCCTTTTTTCCCCTCTTGCTTTTAAATTCAATCATATCAGCAATCCTGAGGGCAGTTTATCACATTATGAGATACAGACAGCCCTGCAAACCACCTACTTATTATATTTTCTTTCTTTCCCCCCTTAAGCACAGAGGCAGATCTGTCTTTATTTGTTTTCCTAGGCAGACAGCCTTGGTTCCTCTTAGCCTCTCTTCCAGATGCACTCCTGGATGCCCTCGTAATGGAAAGCAGCAATAATGCAGGGAAATTGCCCTGCGGCATAATTGGGCCTAGTTCTCAAGATCGGGTTAGGTTTATTCACTTATTAGATTTGGGTCTCCGAGGGTTCAAGAGTAGGAGTCCCAGGAGTCCCTGGAAGTACCCCTTAGTAATCGGTGACCCTGATATTTGAAACCTCTGTGTATTTTTTGGTTAGCGCTCCTGTTCTTGGCTGCAGCCAGCCACAGAGCATTCATTTTTAGAGTGATTTTTCATTGGAACGGAAAATGATGGCTGTGATGGAGTCATGACTCTGTGACTTAGCAAATTGATAAAAGGATAAAAGCATGGAGCAATGACAAACAGGCTGGGGGGGTTGCTATCCGCCCCCGCCTTTCCTGCGCTGGGGTGGGGTGGGGGTGGGGGGTGGAGGGTGGGGGTGGGGGTATGTGTGTGCACACACTTGTGATGCTCATCATCAGTCACCCTGTGTTGGTTCTGATAGAGGACTATAAAGTGAAACCTATGGGGAATATGTCATTCTGAAATGAAAGCTAATGTAATTAGTACCAATTAAAGTACATTTAGTAAATTGGATTTAATCTTAATTAAGCCTGCATAATGTTGCCAATTTTTAACAATTATGTTTGAGAACATAATTAATTTAAATTTTGGTAACTGAGTAAATAGCATTAGTCTGGTAGAATTAGTTGAATTTTTTTTTTCTAAGGAACTCAGTAACATGGCTTGGAATTAGAGCATAAAATACCTAATTTCTGGTAATCTTGTGCAGTCAATAGAGCTGAGCAGATGAAGCGGGGGTGGGGTGAAAGTGAAGATGACCAATGAGAAATGGTTAGAAATGTTTTATTATGATGTCTGCTTAATGGAACTTGAAAAAGGAAAAGAAAGTACAGGTACATTGGCTTCATGGCTTTGTTCCTTAAGGATTTTCCTTAAGTATGGTATTGTGCTTTTTATTTTTGATAGGACAGTTGGCCCAGGTGAGTTACTTTTTAAAATTTCTTACTGCTGATTTTTCCTCTTTATAAATACAGTCTGGCCTCTCCTAAATGAGTTAGCACTTGTGGGAGCAATGTGATCATGCATGCCATTGATATTGCTAAATGCTGCTTGTTCCCATCCTTCACCTGTTATGTTGTAATTAAAAAAGACCTCCCTGATTTAATCTGACAGCAGCGATTACATTAAAAAGTGAATATTGAATATAGATTTAAAACAGTAGGAAAATGAATTAGATTTCTAACCAAACCAAGCACCTCAGTCCTGATTTTGAACTCAGCAGTGTTGTAAGCTGGAGTAGAACTCTCACTGCTCCTCAGGGTTTCCTGTGGCCATACATTTTAAGAGAAGCAGACTCATCTTTCTCCTGTGGAGCAAGTGATGCGTTTGAACCCTGCCATCGCTTAGCCCATCGCTTAACCTTCAGCACCACCAGGGTTCCTTTTAAACCTATAGAAAGTGTGAAAAAAGCTGAATAAACCTGCATTATGAAAAGGAGAGATTGAGAAACTCCTGACATACTCAAAGTTACTATCTGAAGAGCCCTTTACATCAAAAACGAAACAAAAGGCGTAGTATTTGAAATTTAGAAATTAGAACATTTTAGAATTCTGGAAACAGTTAAAATTTAACTGTGAGTGCTATATATTTAAATATACATATTTGTGTGCATATATATGTGTGTGTGTATTATTTGGGAGAGAACGCCTCCCCCCTAATTTTAAAATCATAGGTAGAAAATCCCCATTTTCCAAGTCATGTAAATTTTATTACAAGACTTGGGCAACAACCATTTGAGTGCTGCTAAAATATTAATTGAATAGAAATGAGCAGGCCTTGCCAGCTGATAGGATATCATAATCATAGCCTCTCTGGTCGATGGTAAATGATGATAAATGGCATTAGGAGCCTTTTAGCAAACTGTAATAACTACAAGGAGAGAAGCAGTATGGATCTGCATTATATCTGATACCCTCCAGTACCAAGTGGATTGCCAATACTGCTTGTTTAGCATTTTCTAAGGGCAATAGGATATTGATTTCTGACTTACGAGGAACAGCTCTATTTTCACCATTGAAAAGTATTGCAGGTTGTTAAGAAGAAATTGACTTGAAGAGGCCGACTGCTGCCCATCATGGAGCAAATAAAGCAAAACTGCCGAAGCATGGTGGAGCAGCGAGTCGGCCCTCAGCAATTTGTTGCTATTAATTTACCATGCTCGACAGCAAATCAATCGGCTTCTACTTCATCTGCTGGAGAAAATGCTGTCCAGGGCAGATAAAAGGTTCGGCATGGCACAGAGAATAGACTGGATTGGCCAAAAGGAGGCTGCAGTTAATGTGTAAATAAGTGAAATCAAGGCCACTGTTGCTGAGGAAGCTGTTGTTAATTAGGTTGGTGCATTTCAGTGAACCATTTTAGAAAGCTGACTAGGATTTGGAGAGTAAGACAAGGTTTATTGAAGTTGAAGTAATAATGTATGACTGGCATGACATTCCAGCCTTGAGTGGACTTCATTCTGGGGTGTAGTAAATTTATTTGGGGATAGTATTTGCAGTAGAAGTCAATTTGTTTTAGAGTTCTCTTTAGACTATATTTTCCTTTAAGAAAATATTTTTTTGAATAATACTAATTTCTTGCATATCTGTCTTACATGGTATACGCTTACATTTGGATACATAGAAGGATGATGGAATAGGAGTTTGAATATGTATGTAGTGTCTTACTTTCTTATGCAGTGGTTTCTTCCCCGCCCCACCTCCAGCAATGGGTGTGATTGAACTCTTATATAACAGTGTAGGTGAACGATTATCAAAGGTGGGGTACTGCAACTAAAAGTTAAGGACAAATCACATAAAATTTCACTGACAGAACTTTGCATTTTTAAAAACATAAATTGTAATCTAGAAGGGATGAACAGTAGTTAGTCACAAGACAATCTTGCAGACAGATTATAAGTGAAATTTTGATGACTGCGCAAAA